TAGATATAGATATAGATATAGATATAGATATAGATATAGATATAGATATAGATACTAAATACTAAATACTAAATACTAAATACTAAATACTAAATACTAAATACTAGATACTAGATACTAGATACTAGATACTAGATACTAGATACTAGATACTAAATACTAGATACTAGATACTAGATACTAGATACTTGATATAGATATAGATACTAGAGACAGGCCAAGCCGCCTCGTTGATCTTGCAGCGTATCTCTGATTCGGTGTCGCTGATTGAATCGGCTTTTCGCTATCGCCAACAGCTATTTGAGCTGCCTTTCGAACTTATTTTCTTATTTGTTTTCGAGCGGCTGCCGCTGCCGCTGCTGCTGCTTCTTCTGTCGGTATTCGTATTCGTATGCGTATTCGAATTCTGTATAATCGTGCATCCGAATCGAAATTTGCTGTTTTCGAAAAAAAGGAAACAACAACAGCAACGAGAACGACAGCAAGCGCATTGTATCGGCTGTCAGGTGTCGGTTCGAGTCGTAGTCGAGTCGAGTCGACTCGAGCCAGAGTCGAGAGTTGCTCGGTGTTCGGGGCTTGGTCATTAAAGTGCCAGCACTCGTTCAGGCCACAAGCGTTGCGGGAACTACGAAAGAAGCTCATTTCCCGTTCATCCCTTTCTCTCTCTATATATACCTCTTGTTCCCTGATTCGGTATGAACTTCAATCGTATGGACAGTGTGCATCGTATGAAAGTGGATGCACAACTCTTTGGGTCGAACGTCAGGGAGTCCAAGAGCTTCACCAATATTAATAGGAATGGCATCAAAGCCGAATTTGAGCCAGAAGAAACGATTTGTGGGTTGACTATATAGACAACATCAATATATGCATAATCACACTATCTAGAGCTATAAACATTTATAAAGCATCAATTAACTGTCAATTTGTTGTGTTTTTCAGGCGATATGATCGACTCAGCGGACACTGATAAGCCGGAGACCGATAATGAGCTAAGTAATGAAATTTCGGCACCATATGAAGTACCCCAGTTCCCGATTGAGCAGATTGAGAAGAAATTACAAATACAGCGCCTGCTAAATGAGAAGTGAGTACGACTAACTATTCAGAGGTCAAAACTAAAAAATAATTTAAATACCGAAATAAACAATAATTACATAATTACAAGCACGACATGAGACATGAACTAAATTTAGATCGCAATAATATTACGTAGCAGATAATGTAAAATCTATTTATTTTCTATGTGCATCAATAGATGCCCCAATCAGATTGTTCTGCTCAGAGATTAGGCACAAAACTAGTAGAGATCAAATCGGTTTTGATTCGAGTCGGAGAGATTTTCAAGCTGGGAGCTCTATATTCGATCTTTAAGTGTAGTTTCTATAATCTATCCAACTTTTCGTATCAGTTATTCTATCCTACTTCGTCTGCCCATCTACAGCCTATGATATCATTTATCATAACGTAATGTATTTCCACTATGTTCCATATTGTTCTTAATTGTATCATTCATTTCATATTAAATCTTCTGTCTTACCGTCATCCATCCTCTATCTTCTCCCTGTTATCTACTCTCTTCAATATTCTATCTTGTGTTTCCTATTCACTGTCCGCTATCTCCAATATTCTATCTTGTGTTTCCTATCCACTGTCCCCAATCTTCTATATTCTATATTCCATCTTCTGTCTCATAAAAACAAAAGGTAGTTATATACCATATACATATCTACTGCATACTGTTACCTGGCTCAATCTGAACATCCACGTAGCTCCACGCATACAAATCTCTATCCCATCTAACGTTTCAAAAGCCCTCTAATGAACAACAACAACAGCAGCAGCAAAGTGAACGCTGTGAGTGCGCTGTAATTAAAATGAAATGGGTATACTAAATACTTCATCGACTATGTTAACCATGCACAACAGCAGCTGTAGGGAAATATACTATAACTCCTCAGCAATATGCTGAAAATATTTGTAGTAATAAACCTCATATTTCTCGAGCATCAGCTAACCCATTTTGATGTAATTGATGTACTATAGAGTACTACTGGTAATCAGTCTTTGACTATCTTTAGCCGTTAAGCTACATCCAATCCAGCTAAAATCTCTTCTCAACTGAACCAGAGCATTGATCTCGCAGAGTACTTGGGTATTCAGTATGTATTGGAGTTAGGGTATGTCGTCTTCGGATATGCGAAGAGTCATGCCTTCGCTAGTTATCAAGTTCACATTGTTTTTGGACCCACGGCTAATCCAAGCGACTAGACGAGGACAGATACTTGGTCATGGCCGATAGGGTGGGGGCAAGAAGGGCCGGTGAGGTAGTGGGCGGAGGGAACTTAGGTTCTTTGGCGAGTGGGTCGTGCGGGCCAAGCAGGTGCCAAAGCAGAGACGGCAACAGCGTTGGACACGTTTTGATTTTGAATGGGAGTGCATTAGGCGATGGCCGGCAATGCGACCGCGTCAACAACGCGGCTTATGGCATAATGATGAAACCACCACGACCACCATGACCAGCACCGCCACTACAACCACCACCATCGCGGCACTGGCACCACCAGCGGGCACCGCTGTTAGCCGCATTTTAAATTTCGGATTCCGTCACATTCAGTACAATTTGTGCATCCATATAACTTGGAAGGGCGCATCGCCGCAAGAAAGCGCAAAAGTCGTGGCGCGTATCCGGCATTCGTTGCCTCAAACCCACAAACCCTTAACTCACAAAGCTCCGGTCGCTTTGGAACGGAACAATTGTTGCCCCTTCTTTTCTTTGGGTATTTTGGAATACCTTCTCGACCTACGCTGACATTGAGGACGCGCAATTATCCAATCACCCAGGCACTTTGCATTTAGTTCGTGTTCGTGTCACACGCCAAGCGTCGAAAGTTGCGAACTTCACAATTGCACTTGAAGTTCGTTCCGTTGCTGCACGCGGTTTACTGTTTACTGTTTACTGTTGCTGTACAGTTAAAAGAGGAGATATAGGGCTATTATGTGGCCCAATGGGCTCAAGAGAGACCCTCGCGATTGGCACATCAAAATGATTAATGTTCTATCGAGCTGGGCGTTAGACGCTTAAGACCAACTCCCTTAACCCCCACCCGGACCAAAGCGACCCCCTACCGGTCAGGGTATTCATAATTATTTTTTGGCAAACAATACAGGTGTGTGGGTGGATTCGTTGCCATTGCGTGCTGCTGTGCAAAGTGTATATACATATATATATATATATATATATATATTTATAGTCGGGCGGGCTGGGTCTATAAATTAATCGCTCAATCGATCATTGGACAACTGTTAACTTTGGCAACTTTCGGAAGTTGGCCAAGTCGGCTCGATAGTGGGCCATTCGCTAGGTGCATTGGTCAGGAGCAGCATGTCTTTCGCGGATGATAGCTATAGCTTCTGTCGCCTATACGAGTATCAGCACGATGAGGAACAATGGTGCAGTTCGGCTGGCCGTTTCGTTATTGAAATTTTGTCTGATGAGTTTTCTTTTTTTGTATTCCCCTACCTCGTTTCACCCAGGCAATCGACATGTCAACGCTCGGCTGCGCCCATTACAGCATCGCCGCGACGCAGCAGCTCAGACTCGGAGGGTCTGACAGAGCCGGCGGTACCGAAACGTACAACAGATGCTGACATTAATTTTCAGCGTGTCTCTGTCTCCGGCGAGGATACGAGCGGCGTGCCACTAGAGGATCTAGAGCGTGCGTCGACGCTACTTATCGAGGCACTCAAGCTACGTGCCAAATATATGCAAGTGTCGGATCAATCGTTCCCAACCACCACAGCACGTTTCCTTAAGACGGTGAGTCTGAAGGATCGCTATGAGAATGTGCCAGTCAAGTCGGTTTCAGGTAAGTCCAAATCGCATTTGAATCACCCATCAAGCAGCATCCGTATCAGCATCAGCAACAATTGGTCTAGCCGAGGCATCTAAGCGTCGGTGTGGGCACACCCCCCCCAAATACATACATGCATATGTAGTAGAGAGTTCTGCCAGTGTTGTATAGCACCATGAAATGCATATATGTATAACAAATACATGTATATATGTATGTATGCCTGCCATGTATGATACAAACGAATAGTTTCATTTATTCTTCTTCTTTTACCGTTAGCTTGATGTATACATATATGCATTCATACATATATGTATGTATATTACCGTTATAGTTCAGTTGACCATGCGCTAGGAACGCATTAAGCTCTTTATACTCTTATTTTCAGCTAGAACTGCCCTGCCACCTAACTACCCCTCTCTCTTTATCAACATTGCTCTCTATCTCTCGCCATCTCTCTCTCTCTCTCTCTCTCTCTCTCTCTCTCTCTCTCTGTCTCTCTCTCCCTCCTTGTAGTTCTCTAAATGTGTATATACTCATGTACATACATATCTAAATGTATATTTATCTCTTTCTTTTGTATATCTCGCTCGCTCGTCTTCTTCTATTTCGTTTAGTAAGTTTCTCAGTTCAGGTCTATGTAACTCTTGCTTGTCTTGATTTATTTAATTAATTTCTATGCTCCCGGCGTGTACATTATTCTTTCTTTTGTTTTTCCTGATTTTGTACAAAGATTTCTCTACATATATATATATATTTATTTTTATTTCATTTTATTATAGACATAATTCGCAAACAGAGTATGGCGAACTATACAGGTAATTCGGTCGCGGCTGCTTCCGTGTTCGGATTGAATTGTTAAGTTCTTTTGTTGCTTTCCCGCTTTTCTCCCCACTCTCTCATATCACACTCACACACACACACACACACACACACTCTCTCTCTTTCTTTCTCCTTCACACACACATACTTCCCAAACACCATTGCTTCCATTTGTTGACTGATCCAATATCTACACACACACACACACACATACAAATGTTGAACCGCTTTACGCTCTTTTGTTTTTGCGTTCCTTGTGCTAATCGCTCGCTCTCTCGCTTGCTCTGTTTATGTTTTCTTCTTTCGTTTCTTAATTGCGCGCGCTCTCTGGAGTCCGCGTGTCGTAGCAATTAGGCTTTGTCACGTTCTCAGAGTGTATTTGCAGATTTACCGTTGCTTTTTGTCTCATTGTTTTGTGCACTCAACTGTTGCGTCTCTTTCTACCACATGTAACTTTTGCATTTGCTAACACACACACACACTCTCTCTCTCTCTCTATCTCGCTCTCTGTATGTCACTCCTCTCTCTAATGTGTTGTGTCTGCCTGCCGCTGAGTGCATCGCTTATCTCAGCCGAGTTTGAAAACCTCACTTAAAAAACACTTTAGTATCAAGTAGACAAGATCTAAAATGTATGAACTAATTAATTACAACAAACAAATGCACAAAAACTGGCTAAAGCTGGGGCATTGACTTTGAGATAAACCAAAGGCCAACAAGTCCACTTATCTCGGCCAGACTAAGTCACCTATAGAGTATATTGTTTCAATGTTTTACTTTTCTATTTCTTAACATCATTTTCGATACAGATATATACGTATATTTTTTTGTGTTCTTATTGACCAAGCACACAGCAAACAACAAGAACAATTTGTGTGTAGCGCATTTAAAGTAGTAGCTAAAATACCGTTAGTTTTGACAAATTAATTGAATTAGTTTGTAACATTTGACAACACAGTTAATTTGTGCTTAATACTCAATATCTCTATATGTATATTTATTGCATAAACACACAAACACACGCTCAGAGCATCACACACTGATGTCGCCCCTAAAATCGAGACATGCCTGGGACGTCGAGTTCGTGCCAGATGAATCGTATTTCATAAAGCCAGTGAATGGAGTCTTTCACATCTACAACGATAAGGTGAGCTCGACACGGAATAACTTCCCTTCAGCTATGTACATATGTATGTGTATCTATCATCTATTTGATTCGCAGGAATGCACGAGTGAACTGGACTTTTCGTATCCAGATATGAATCAGTTTGTGAATGACATGCAGGTCATGTGCAATATGATAGCCGATGGACCACTGTAAGTGTATATACTCTATATATATATTTATAGATATCAAACTTACTTTAATTCAAATTCCTTGTGAATTGGCAGGAAATCATTTTGTTATCGTCGCCTTTGCTATTTGTCGTCCAAGTACCAAATGCACGTTTTGTTGAATGAGCTACGCGAATTGGCCGCCCAGAAGGCAGTGCCGCATCGCGACTTTTACAACACTAGGAAAGTGGACACGCATATACATGCCGCGTCCTGCATGAATCAGAAGCATTTGCTGCGCTTCATCAAGAAGACGCTGAAGAACAATGCCAACGAGGTGGTCACCCATACGAACGGCCAGCCGATGACACTGGCCCAGGTCTTTCAATCGATGAATCTGACCACATATGATCTAACCGTTGATATGCTGGATGTTCATGCTGATCGCAATACGTTCCATCGCTTTGATAAATTCAATTCCAAATATAATCCCATTGGCGAGTCGCGCCTCAGGGAGGTCTTCCTCAAGACGGATAATTATTTGAATGGCAAATACTTTGCACAAATCATAAAGGTATAGGCAGAGAACTACATATATATAGAGAGATTTGATGTAAATATAATTCATATATTTTTATACTTAACTAGGAAGTGGCTTTCGATTTGGAAGAATCGAAATATCAGAATGCCGAGCTGCGTCTCTCCATTTATGGTAAATCGCCCGATGAGTGGAATAAACTTGCCAAGTGGGCCATCGATAATGATGTCTATAGCTCGAACATACGTTGGTTGATACAGATACCGCGCCTGTTCGATATCTTCAAGTCGAACAAGATGATGTCGTCATTCCAGGAGATAATAAATAACATATTTCTGCCGCTATTCGAGGCGACCAACAAGCCAAGTGAAAATGCAAATTTACATCGTTTCTTAAATTACGTGATTGGCTTCGATTCCGTGGATGATGAGTCCAAGCCAGAGAATCCGCTATTCGATAGCGACGTGCCCCGTCCGGAGGAATGGACGTACGAGGATAATCCACCATATGCTTACTACATATATTACATGTTCGCCAATATGACAGTGCTAAACAAATTTAGAAAGTGAGTTGAGATCCCCCGGGGAGGACTGATCAAATATTTATATATATAATATATTATATACGCCGTACTTCTATCATATTCACAGGCAGCGCGGTCTGAACACATTTGTGCTGCGTCCTCATTGCGGCGAGGCTGGTCCTGTGCAGCATCTCGTCTGTGGATATCTGATGGCTGAGAACATTTCGCACGGCCTGCTGCTGCGCAAGGTGCCGGTGCTGCAGTACCTCTACTACTTGACCCAAATCGGCATTGCTATGTCGCCGCTGTCAAACAATTCGCTGTTTCTCAACTACCATCGCAATCCACTGCCAGAATATTTGGCTCGTGGACTGATTATCTCACTGTCCACCGATGATCCGTTGCAGTTTCACTTCACCAAGGTAAGTGGGACAGAATATAAAGAGAGAGAGAGAGAGACAATGTCATTAATTTGCCAATTATGCATTTAGGAACCCCTCATGGAGGAATACAGCATTGCAGCGCAGGTGTGGAAGCTCAGCTCCTGCGACATGTGCGAGCTGGCACGCAATAGCGTTATTATGAGCGGCTTTCCACATAACGTGAGTAAAGGACTCTTGAAGAGTTTTCCGTGCGTTGGCTCATAATTATATCGTTCTATATGTTTCTCGCACAGATCAAGCAACAGTGGCTGGGACCCAACTACTATGAGGATGGCATCAATGGCAACGACATAACACGCACCAATGTTCCAGAAATTCGCGTCGCCTATCGCTACGAGACTTTGCTGGATGAACTCTCCAACATATTTAAAGTGAATCAAACCTGTCATCAGAAGGATGAGAAATGATAGATGCGATATAAAATGCAACCCATATATACTTGCTATTATTATTATATACATTAACATTAGTTATGTATGTATGCATAATAATTGTGTACTTTGATGTGAACCGTTTCCTCTACTAATCCATTATATTAATCCAACAGACCAAAATTCTACAAACTTATATACAGGGCATTAGCTGGCATTAGCAACGGTAACTGCGATTTCCAGCGAGTGCATTGAGTAATCTTAGCAAATATGTTAAACGTATAATTGTATCCGTTGTAGGTAGATTCTTATTTTTTTCCTGAGCTGGTGCTGGTGTTGCCGCTGCATTGCAATTAAACTAGACATTATATAAACAAAAAACAAAAACAACAAAAAAAATCTCCAAAGTGTAAACTCTAAATAAAACTGCAGAATTTTAAATAGTTGATCATTTATTTTGTAATTCAAATTTAAAGGCCGCAAATCTTGCGGCTAATTTGAAATCCACTCGCGCCATCTAGCGTCCGTTGGAGTATCTATTAAAGACAATTGTTATTATTCTGCGCTGCTTGTGTTGCCGCTGTATTTCAATTAAGCTAGGCTAAAATAATATTTGAAACAATAAATGTATCTAATGTGTAGCTCTTAATAAATAAAATTGCTAATGGCAAAGAATTTATCGTTTCACTTGTACAAGTGTATCTCAATTAATATTATTTTCTAATTTAGCGCCTATTTCTTTAGATATTAGCGCCATCTAGTGCACATTGGTTGTCTCTTCTATATGTTTTTATTATTTATTGCTGCGGATATACATACATTCATTCCCTTTGTTTTCACAAGGAACCCATTTGAACTGCATTTATATTTCTACTACCCCATCTAGAGTAAGCTTAGAAAATTGAGGTAGCACCTGTACAACGGTTTCATAAATTATCTGAATTATTGCAGCAGGTGACTATAAATTGTCCACAGCTGGCAAATGAAATATTGAAATATAAAAGCAATGCTGCCATATTCTCACATGATTTGAATTCCACTGGCACTTGCGCTTGAACGCCCTCAATGTCTATCGATATGGTACGATACGTGAATTTCAAGTGAAACATATCGATGTATCGATATAAGATCAACAATACCAACAAATACATAGACATTTGTGCGTACCTGTGTTATTGTGTCTGAGAGATTCTTCTCTGCAACTTGTCTTTGTTTCGACAAAATTAAACACACAAAAAACTGAATAAAAAATGATGGTATCACAAAGCTGATAAATCGCACATAAATTGGCAGCGTCATAAAAGACGGCAGACTGGTAAGACATCATCAAAGGGACAAAAACTCCTTGAGCGAAACAAGTCATCGTCGCTCAACGCTCTCTGTCCGACTCACGCGTATACGTTTGTGTACGAGTGTGTGTGCGTGTATGTATATGTGTGCACAATGACCACCCAGCGAACGCATCGAAATGCCACCAGCACCGCGGTGGGGAGTGGAGCCGGCGATTCCGATTATGAGACGCTCATGCAGCGGCTGCACATTGGCGGCAGCTATCAGCGCTCGCCCGGTGGCTTTGACAACTTTATGCATGATGCACCACAACAACCGCAACAGCAGCAGCAGCACCACCACCACCATCAACACCAGCAGCAGCAGCAGCAACAGCGGCTGTCCAACAGCGAGGATTACAAGCTATATGAGCGTGGCAACATAATAGCTGCCTCAAAGTACGCCACCGCAATACCCAAGGCCGGCACGGAGCCCATTATGATAGGCAACGGCAGTAACAGTCAGCCGCCGCTCATATATGCGCCGACGGCTCAGGTGCTTGGCCAGCGCATAGCTCCGCAGAAGCATTCGCCGGTCTATGAGAATCTGGAGTTCTATGGCCAGTTCGATACGAACCAGCGGCGTGCCCAGCCCCAGAGTCCGGCGAGTCGGCAGAGCGTCATGCTGAACGACTATTTGCTGATGCAGCCCATTGGAGGGGGTCGGTTTGCACATACGCCCGTGCCGGAGGCGCCCCAGAAGCACACACATCAGCCCATCGAGGAGCTGTCCGCCGTGGCGCCCATCTATGAGAACATTATACCCCATTCCGGGCAGCGGGCCCAGCCGCAGGCATCGCCGGCCACGGCCACCATGTATCAGCACACAGAGATGGCCACGCCCACGCCCACAGCTAACCAAATGGAGCTGAATGCGATGATGCTATCGTCGCCGCTGCACCAGCGCAGCAGCAGCAACAACAGCTCGTCCAATGCCGGTGGTAGCTCCGGCGCCTTGGGCTCGCCCACGCAGCGCTATCGGAATCTATCGCTGCCCAGCCATGTGAGTCCGCTGGCCTCGCCGGCGCCGACGCCGCTGGCCAAGCTGCAGCTGCAGCAGCACACGCCCATCAAGCAGCAGCAGCAGCAACAGCAGGTGGGCATCAATGTGTCCGTCAATCCCAACTACATCGAGGACATCAACAGTTCCGACTATGTCTGCATGACGGCCAATCTGCACCGCAGCACCGCCGCCGCCGTCCCCACCAGCAGCGCCGTCAACAGTCGCAGTCCCAACAACAGCAGCAGCATCAGCAATAGCAACAGCAACAACAACAGCAATGGACGACTAACTGCGGTCAGTCCGCAGCCGCCATTGCCGCCGCCGCCGTTGACAGCGGCCGCAACGCAGACGTCAACGGCAACGACGTCCGCCGCAGCGCAAATGCAACCCCTACAGCTGCGCGCCACGCCCATTGCGACAACGGCGCCACTCGCGGTGGCCACCTCGCCAACGCCCTCGCAGAGCAGCACAGGTGAGTGGAGAGCACTATCCGTGCATCTCGACTAATACCAAGACAGCAATATGACTAACCCCTGCACGTACGTAAGCTATACGAATATGCATACAGAAAATGGATGACTAACTCTTATCGGGTTTTTCTGCTCTAATGGAAAACGTTTTAATGAAAAGCTGCAAGAGCTGGGGCAGAGACAAGTTGAGGGGACTGAGGAATGCCAGCTGTATTTACTTCAACCCTTCTCTCTCTCCCTCTCGCACTCGCACATTCATAGTAGCTCCACGGCCAAATACTTTTCTAATATCCAATAACTCAATGTGAAGAGAAGCCTTGTAGACTTTTTCTCTCTGAAAAGATTATACTATACTAAAAGATTATACTATTTATACGTAATGCTAAATCTAATGGAGAATTATTAATTTATCTCATCTATCATATCTTTTATCATAGACATTTTCTTTATTGCTTTGTCTATCTTTTAAGTTTCTCCTAAAGAGTATGTCGCATTTAAAAGCTGGAAGGAGAAAAGGAGTCCAGAGAAAATCTTTCCTATATAGTTCCCTCACTCTCTCTCTCTCTCAGATTCTTTTAAAGAAAAATCCTAACTCGCATTCTCTTAAAGAGGGAGAGGGAGAGTGAAACCCCAAAAGAACCAACCCAAAGTGTTTTCAAAAAGGTTTTACTGGCGTTTAGTAATGCTCTCCAAAGAGTAGTAGTTCTTTTTCCCAATGCTCTTTAAATAGTAACTCCTTTAGAAATATCCTAGCTCGCATTCTCTCTAGAGAGCTTCCTCAACTGAAGATACTAACGAGAAAGAATAACAGAGAACTTATACTGTTGCAGCTTTACGTTTTACTGGCTTCATATAGACAACATTTGAATAGAAACATACTCAAATACTCTAATCACTCTACTGATCCATCATATACAGTTAAATATATATCATCGTAATCCCAATTCTAATCATAATCTTATGCTCTTTTTAACAATGCTTGCCTAGCCGCCTTGCGGCCCAAACGAGGTATGCCCTTCATCTAACCCACTTGCAATGGCTTAAGCGCCTCTTTATTCGCGTCGCTTATACTAAATGTTTACTGTACTTTGTCCACGTAACAGGTCTGACCAAGAATTTGCTGCCATACAGCGTGACGCCGCCGCGTCCGGCTGGCCCGACCGAGGCGCAGCGCAAGATCGAGGAGCTGACGCGCCAGCTGGAGGAGGAGATCGAGCAGAGCGAGGAGCATGGAGAGTATTTTGGTAGGCCAGAGAGTTGAGACCGATTTGCAGCCATCTGATTGCTAATCTTCCACTTGCAGGCATTTGCCACACCTGCGGCGAGAAGGTGAAGGGCGCCGGCCAGGCCTGCCAAGCCATGGGCAATCTATATCACACGAATTGCTTCATTTGCTGCTCCTGCGGCCGGGCACTGCGCGGCAAGGCGTTCTACAACGTGCACGGTCGTGTCTACTGCGAGGAGGACTACATGGTAGCTACCCAACTCTTGACGTGTCTCACTCACTCCTAAACCGAAACTCTCTCTCTCTCTTTATCGTCTTTGTAGTATTCGGGTTTCCAGCAGACGGCGGAGAAATGCGCCATTTGTGGCCACCTGATCATGGAAATGGTGTGTACGCCCAGTCCCTCTCCCTCTCTGCCCCTCACTCAATCTGTCCTCCTCTAATTGGTTTTGTGCACCTTCAGATTTTGCAGGCCATGGGCAAGTCATATCATCCGGGCTGCTTCCGCTGCTGCATCTGCAATGAGTGCTTGGACGGCGTGCCCTTCACCGTGGATGTGGATCATAAGATTTACTGCGTCAATGACTACCATCGCATGTTTGCGCCCAAGTGCGCCAGCTGCGGCAAAGGTGCGCTGATCCCAAATCCCCTATATATATACATATATATATATATATTTATCCGTATTTATATATCTTATTTATATAATATGCTCTGCTGCAGGCATCACACCCGTTGAGGGCACCGATGAGACGGTGCGCGTCGTGTCCATGGACAAGGACTTCCATGTCGATTGCTACATCTGCGAGGAGTGCGGCATGCAGCTGACCGATGAGCCGGACAAGCGATGCTATCCGCTGGACGGCCGCCTGCTCTGCCGGGGCTGCCATTTGCAGCGGCTCGCGTTGCAATCGTCGCCGCACACGCGCCACCAGGAGCCCGTCTGTGCATCCTATCAGTATATGGGCTGAGGCTAGCCATGCGCCACGCCCATTCGACTGACGATAGCAACTAAATGCACAAAATAACTATACAACTATAAAATATACATATACATATACATATATACCGTATACATATATATGCACAGTAAATAAACAACGCGCATTTCCATTTTTGCAATAACCGATTTAATAAACAATCTAAATTTCATAAATACAAACGAACATATGGAATCAGTTGACTACCCCGTTTCTGATCTTGATAATAATTGCATTTCTTCTGTTCCCTCCCGCTCGGTTATGCCCCATTTCCCTTATCCCCTGTTTCTATGTGTTGTGTGGCAGCGGCTTCAGTGCATCAGAATCTCCAGCTGGACGAGACGATTGTTGGTGTCCGAGGGTATGCGATAGGGCAGCGTGGCCGCCATGTTGGTCAGTGCCTTGGCGCGCTGGCGCAAATGTGAAAGCATCTCC